TCTCGTCCTCTTCGTTGATTTGATTCTATAAATAAACAATCTCTTTCTTGTCCTGATAGGTCAATTGCCGGTAGAGTCAAACTGTCCTCCGATTTCAACTGCCGGTAGAGTCAAACCACAAACTTTAATTTTCCGCGCTTGTCTCCGAGCCGTTAGAAGTAAGAATGCAATGACAGTTCGGAAATGCGCGTCCATGTATGATGACAAATTAACGTGCTCACTGTTACCTTGTTGTATCAGACTTATCTCGTCTGTTTAGTGCAAAGCATGTTGTATTCATTATATGCGTGTAATATTTGATGCTGGAGGTAAAGCGCCCATTAGTCAAACAATCGATCTAAATATGCGTGAACACTGCAATCGAATATTAGAAGTTTTAGTTGTTAGAATCAAAAGTTACGCTTTATGAGAACCTACTTACAATTGAAATTATTTGTGGTAATCTTTTGAGCTGTAAGTGTGTCATATGAGACAAATAGATTATCTCGGATATAAAAACCATATATAAAAGGAAGTTTTCAAAATGATAGCCATCTCAGGTAAAAATGCTGATTTACAAAAATATAAACTTGTAATATTCTTACAACTTATTACGTTTTAAGTAGGTTGTAAAATTTAATTTTATGGCCTTAAAAATAAAGTCCACTTGTCATGTTTCGTACTTTTCTTTTTAACATTGATTTAAAATGCAATCTGTTTTACATTAAAAACTTAAGAAGAAATCATGGCGACTTGAGAGGGTCTTCTCGAGTAGGCTAAATCGTTCGGAATACTTTTGGATATTAAGTGGATTAAGTTGCATAATTCGAACTACCATATAAACAGCTTTATTTCGAATTACAATATTTAACTGGTTACTTTGTTCATGATTTTGTTTGACTGATAGAGGATTTCATTTTCTACTAAGGTTCACACAAATCCGCGGTACCCTAACTTGACATAAAGTTATAAAGACCTGGGTTTTGTTTGTTTTAACTTACTTCACAATTATGTTTATATTTTCCATTAAATAATCGAATACAATATTATGTTTACATATTTGCCTTTGTAAACAAAATTTATAATGAACGAAGTTTTCAATCTTTCAGTTTATTTGAATACTCTATGAGACTGTTTTGCAATTCATTTGAAATTGCAGCTTCTGTCAATCATATCAATTAAGAGTTTTCACTCTTTTCTTGTTAGATTTTAATACCTTTTTTAAGTCTTATAATGCCGTTCGTTTTTGTTTACCTTCTTAAATTTATTCACTAATAAAACGATTTTGATGTCCGGGTGGTATATATCTGACACGAATGTAAAGTTCAAATTCTCACATGTACATTCAGTGCTTGTCTGCATGGTGACTAAAGACGATTCCAAAATTGAAAACAATAGGCTTATCTGTGCAAGTTTTCTGTGACAAAATTTAAATGCACATACAGATCTCCAATTTCAACACGAAAAAAATGTTAATAAAATGATAAGGAGACATTTATTTTATGATGTTAACAGAAGTTGTTTGCCTAACGTCTAGTGGCAAATATTACAGACATATACCGGGTGAAAACAATTGCGATATCAATCGTGTTGGCTCGAAGAAATGGAGAGACCTGGATGAAAGGTGCAAAATTTGGAAAACAACTGGAAAAAGAGGACATACAGCCGGGATAGGCTAATTAACTTTTACTTGCAGTATATTTTTTTTTTTTATTATCCCAAGAGTTATTGCCAGGGTTCTTTTTTATGTACAGATTGCAGCAGTCCCCAAATACAGCACTGTGTTGTTTCAATAGACCCTTCCTGAATGTTGAAGCATGATTACAGCGTGCATGTAAGGAACGTTTAAGTGCAACCCTTCTCCCCAAAATGGAAAGTGATATACAGTTTGTAATTCATTTTCCCCAAGAGAATATAGCCCTTGTCATACTCATGAAAGGGTCTGCCTGAAGCATGCGCTTAGTAAAAATACTGTTTTGTATTCGTTGTGACATAAGATAATCTTCAATCATAATTCCTATAATCAGCACCTTTAGTTATTCCACATTCGACCACTTGTTCGACTAGTATTGTTTTCCTAAATAAAGTCTTAATTCTTACAATCTTTTATTATGTAATGTCTATATTCTTGTTTTCATAAATACAAATTAAGTAAACAACGAACGAATAATTGAAGTTTTTTTCAATTTGCATTTCCTTTTACCATGTACCCATGATAATGAGTATTTGCGATTATGGTGCAATAAAATATTACGTATAAATTCCCCAAATTGACATTCTCATTCAAACTGTTGCGTTTTGGTTCTTGATTTCTTTTATGTCGTATCTTTTCAACATAAATTAACTGTTTTGATGGTGTCAATTTAAGTTGCTAGATCATTATACAGGATGTAATTTTTGTGCCAAAAATAATCAGAATATTTGTCTTGTTTAATTATCTTTCGTACACTTAAAACAGTTAACACCTATCGGGCATCATTTATCTTATTCAGACTTGCGTGGGCGTTTTTCATTGGTAAAAGATGCATCACAGACGACATGACCATATTTGGATAAATTGTCTGCAAAAGATTTGAATTCAAGCCTTTCTTTAATAAGACACGATCCATGACGTACAAAAAATTACTACTCTGGTTTTTTGATGTAGTGTTATATTACATAACAAATTTACTTTCTTTGTACCTATTTATTTTAGTCTTTGTGAATTGTCATGTTAGAATGTACCATAACTAGTAAACTAAACAAGCCGACAAGAACGATTGTTACAGAGATACACCACGCCTTTGATCATGTTGATAACATAACTATACAAATCTTCATCAAAAATTATACTATACTTGAAAATGCATATCGCCTGTACATATTACTTTGTAATAATGTAGGCCTTTACATGCTTGTTTGAAGTATGTAAATTCTTATTAGTGATTTAAGATATCATTAAATGTTAAAACGTAAAAGTGGTGCAGGTGACATGATTAAAAAATGAAAAATATGGTAATAAAAACTATGATTATGCATATTTTTATCTATATATACCTAACCTTAAATCATTCGCGGATTAAGCAAACACACATCGTTTTAGGTCTATCTTGAGTATTCCTTTTACCACACCGACAAAAAAATAACATACGTTTGGAAATATTTTGCTCCTGTCCTCCGATTGATGAGAAAAATAAATTTGTATGGGAATTACAAATTTGAAAATAAGGACCTATTTAATAACAAGAATATATCTTATTATGTATGGTATTGCATAAGGTTTCACGCGGTATTATTGTTGACTTTTAAAATATCTTGTGGAAAATGGGATATTCGGAAGTTAAGCATTCGGAACTCATAAAGGACGAGTTAGCGATAACTTCTAAGTACCCACTTGATTTTTCACACAAACAATTAGATATTTTTTAGAAATTCTAACTGGTTATTGAAATTGTTGCAGATATAAAATAGTCAATATTCATATATCGACAAGTTATTTTGTAAAACAATTATTAAATGGTTGCTTTCAACCTTAATTATGATCTATAATAATATAAATGAAAAAAATGAAAAAAATGGAAAACTATATTTTATAATTCTCAAAAAATTAAACTAAAAGAGATGAAAAACAAACTGAATCTGAAAAATCTTGATCAACAAACCTCATTTTTTTTAAAAACGATACAACGTTTTTACTAAATATGGCCTTCATTACAATAATACAAACAATGGACCATCGTCGTGAAGGGTAAACAGACTTAAGTAGAAGTTGAAGGAAAATATTCTACATAGAACAGGAGAGGACGTTTTTGGCATAATTGTTGCTGTACGTGGTCGATTTATTGACCAGTAGGTCAAAGACCTCGTTTCTGCAATTGAAATAATAAATGAAACCAAGGACAACCTTGGCGTGTTGTCAACAGTATTGTAAATAAACTTATTAATTACAAGTCCATGCAAGATGAAAGGGTTCAAAGTAAATATACATCCATATAACTGTCGAATGCGCAGCTTAAACGGTATCTTGTTTTTTTTTCGTGTCATTTAATGTATGTTACAGCAACAAGCATTTCATACTTGTACGTAAGTAGTTTATAAAAAGAGAAGCATGGACATTATTATTATTACTATATCAAATGTTCCTCAATTTGCAGTACAACTGAAGAATCTTGATCCTACCCAACGTTTACACGTTTTCTGGCGGGATAAAAAAATCTATTACTCTCCTTTTCTGAGAACAGCTATCAACTGCTGTGTTTCATTTATGAAGGGAGTTCCTTAAGATGTACTTGAAATATTACAAAAGCTGTTAGTTAATAACGATATATAACAGTATACATTAGAAACTTATTTGCTTGTAATACTGTCTACTATATTAGAAGCTTCAACAATCACTTTAAGAAAAATCGACAAAGCTGTGTACCTTCTTCTTCTGTGGTGTCAATTTTATTTTCGTTGTTTGAAACATTCTCTTAACCAAGAATATCGTGTTTTCTTTTGATAAACGAGTAAAAAAGTGAGTACTGGTTAATGTTGATACAAGTAAATTTTGTATAGTACTGTATACGGTCTGTCTGGGCAACATGCTGTTCGGAAAGAATTTTTCTGAAAATCATTGTTTTTTTTAACTGTTGAAAATGAACATGCTACTTCTTTATTGATTTGAGCAAAGGAAAGATTTTAGTTATAGGTATTTATGCATCATGTCATTGGACAGATTTAAGTTATAGGTATTTATGCATCATGTCATTGGACAGATTTAAGTTATAGGTATTTATGCATCATGTCATTGGACATATATAAGAATGTTAGTGTGGTAATACGAACTTAAGTACCACATACAAACTGTTGAAACAAGGAAAGATGTTATAGTACAGGGACTTGAAGGATTTCAATTGATTTGAATAATAAAAAGAATGCTGCGAATGTGTCTTGAAAATAGGTTAAATATAGCCCTGGTTCCCTGCCCTGTCGGTTTTCGAGCGGTGATCCCGAATCACAGGTTATGTTTTAAACAGACTATCTTACATATTATCACTTACCTTAGAAGCGTCAACAATATACACTTGTAAAATGAGCAGCAGAGTAGTCAACCTATAAATAAAACAAAAAACCCATCAATAAATAACAGTAATTGTTTACAAAACATTGAAATAGACATGTGTTAATTGTCTTCTCAGATTGATAACCCAGAACCTCGGATAATACATCTACCATTTTGTACGGTTTGCTAGATATGTTCAGTTCAAAAATGCAAAGGTCGCGTACGGAACAGTTTATATGTATGTTTGATAATCAATTGCATATATAACCACAAAGGTAGTGACTTAAACGTTTAAAAAAAACGACCGATGTACTATTTAATGGTTAAAATTGTATATACTTTAGACATTTTCTGTACAAGCCGTTTTTTAACAGAGCCAACATGTTCGTATTGGTTTTAAACTTGCAGCATTCATTTAAATCTATACTCTTTATATGCAATAACTGGTCATATCAGTATCATTACGAAATATATCGATAATGAATCTACACATAAAAATGAAGCATGCATATTATTCAGAAAAAATTGATGGATCATTTCGAATATGCATCATATCATAAATGTAGATGCACATTGCTCTTAATTACTCCAACGCAAAATTATGAATGAAAGCATAACTTCTATTAAATAACCATTAACCGGATAGGCATTTAATTGTTTCACGCCAGCTTTGGCAAAATGTTTGCCAAACTTTCTAAACACGTAATGATAACATGTTATAGTAAACTGAAACAGGAATGTCAGAAACAATAAAAGTATTCTTTAAATTTAGCATAAAAAAATATGAAAAAAGACGTGACGAATCATTGAAACATGCAAAAAATCATTTCTCTGATCTTCACCTTACAAAGCGAAATAAGTTGTATTTCTAAATGATTCATTGACAAACCTCCCAGAATGGGAGAAAATGAGATAAAACAGATTGTTTCGTTTCATAACCAAAATCTAACAACTTAATCTCCATGTTCTTTTGTTAAACAGATCTTCTTAAATAATTTGACAGGATTGAAATACCAGATGCACTTTAAGGTGACAATAACTTGCATAAACTTACTAATTTTACTTTATTACTTGTCAAAATATAATTAGGAAGACTAAAATCATGCATATAACGTTATCTCGGTGATAAATGTGCTTTTTGAAACTAGCGGAAAATAATGGAGTTTATATGTAATAGATGAAAGACTAAGTGTATAAACAAAACACAAGGGACTCAGCGTACTTTTAAGAGTAACAAAATAAGAGTAAAATTCTACATTATCAAGCAAGATAAAAACTTTCACGACTTCTGCGATACTTTATCTGTCTGTTACAACACTTCTGAACGTTTTTGAGAGATAATGAAATGACTGTTCCCATTTATGGTAAAATATTTGTCGCACACAATCCCATTTCTGACCACGTGCTCGGTACGAACAGTTTTCATTACAATTTTTTGAAGATTTATTGTCATTGGTTTTAAAATTGCAGTATTGCCACGTAATATATACTGTTCTATAAATTTTGGTTTAATATTATAAAATATAAACCTCGAGATAAACTGTGTCAAAACTTATCACATTTTTCATTTGGCATATCCCTTGGTCTTTGACAGAAGATTTAAACTTGTCGTTCATATGGATGAAGTACGATTTGATCAGACATTGCGACATTTTATATCTCTGTAATCAAAATAACAACAGTATACTCTTTCTGTCCTCAATGCTCTTCAGATTCTTATTTTATTTGGCCTTTTTAACTTTTTCGATTCGAGCGTCACTGATGTGTCGTTTGTAGATGAAACGCGCGTCTGGCATACAGCATTTTAAGCCTGGTATCGATAATAAGTTTATTTATTAGTTCTGATCGAATCACAGAAATGTATTGGAAGCGAATTCTTAGTGCATTGATATGCTTGCATAGACAAAAAAGTAACAAATATAATGTCAGGTTTAATCATTATAATTTTCAAATACTAGTAAGTAAAAAATATATATTACATGTATTTACAGATTTAAGCTTGCTTGCGTTTTTGTAAAACTCAATTTTTGTTTGTCACTATTATTTTGAAGGATTAGAAAGAAGATTTAAGCCTTACCAGATGCGAAGGGATTTTATTGTAAAACCTGGGCAAATTTAACCTTTCTGTAGACATATTTTTTGTCTGATTTGTCCATGTTAAAAGACACTTGGTCTACTAAATTATGAAAAATGTTTGGTAACCGCAAACTAGGAACATTACTTTTAAGAGTAGGTCGAATATAAAAACAGATATATAAAAATACATATGTTTAACCAACTTAAAAACTGAACTGTCATTCTGTGGCCCTTCATGACCTTGTCAAAGTGAAACAAAGCATAGTAAAATATACTATACATGTTAACGTACAATTATTGTTACGAATGTCGTCTGTTAGAATCTTATTCAAAATATTGCCCGAGGAAAATGAAATATTTCGTTTTTTACTTTACATACTTCAATTATTTGTCCTTTTGTAAGGCGATTTTCAGTTTAAATATTGTTGTTGAAAATTTATTTCCTGAATAAATATTACTGCAAATGTTTTCCTACCAACAGATTATGTGACATTATACGACCATTCAAACTAATTCCACAACAATAAAATAATAATTAAACATACTTCACACCAACAGGTGTAAAATTTCGCTACCTTATCAAGGTGAATATGTTAAAAATAGCTTTGGTCTTTTTACGACATTTCTTTGCCAGAAATATTGCTATGTTGGCGGGAATTTACAGGCATCAAAACGAATTATACTGAGATCAGTATGCAGCAACATTCAGTAAAATTTTATATTTTGTCTGCTTATTAAGCATAACAGGTATGTGGAACCAAAATACCGAAACCCGGACAATATACGTTCATGGCAAATCAAAAGCAAGAGGCATGTGCACTGAAAAGGAGAAAAGACGCATCCGAGCAGAAAATACTTAAAATCAACGCTTTGAACAAAACTTGCTAGCTCCCATCATTTTTATTGGCATTTAATATCGATAACAGTATGAGAGGGACGGGGTTGCGACTTTCAAAAGCATCATTTTTGCTCGTGTCCTTTCAAAGGCTCTTTTCCATTCTTATAATTGGTCTGCGAGAGTATTAAAGTCTCGCTTGTAAGATGTCTAGGATTCCAGACGTATTGGAATGAGGAGTTCAAATGCATGTCTCTTGTCAAACATGTGATCTTTAAACTACTCGGTATGCATTAAGATATATTTTACATGCTGGCTATAAAAATCCGCACTAATTTGTAACCATCAAAATAGATTACATCTATTAAGTGATATTTACATTAAATAACAATTTAAGGACAAAAACCATCCTTTTCCCCGGGGCCCATGTGACACATCTTAGTCAAACTTCAAAGGATATATATAATCTCTTCTAATGAGACGTTTTCCTAGCCCTATCTTCAAATGAATGTATTAAGGCCTTAAAAATTTTGTTTTTAATACTTTTTATGTGTATTTTGCTTAGATGACCACACAAGTGTAACCTGACATTTCAAATTGTGCAGTAAGCCCTTTAATATTTATATTCTACAGGTAGACTTCTTTTGAAATAAGGTGATTGTCATTTTCAACGTCAATATATCGTGATAAGATTCGGCCATACAAAATCAGTGAATACGTTCCAAGATCAAAACTTGACAGGCACAAAAAAAAAAGAAGTAAAATTGAACTTCGTTGAAATCAATGAAAATAATAATCTAATTGTCCCAACGCTCTTTGGGTAACACCTTTGATCATCTCTACAAATGCTTCCCCAGGTGTTCACATTCTCCGGACAATGGTTAATCTGGGAAACAACCATTCGAAACAAGGGGATGGTGACCAAATTTGAACCTTTTTGAATGCTAGATTTATATATACAATCTTGCTTTATTGCTACACGCCTGTGATATACAGCTTTTAAATAAAGAAACCACAAAAACTTATTTTCCCATACGTACAACCTTTAAGTAGTTTTATTCAATTGAAATAAACTCTGTGAACAAACTATTTCGAAATTGATGATGTGCAAATGGTTGCTGCGTGATAAATTGTCCACCTCCACGAAGAAGAGCTGTTTTTTATTGCAACGACCATTTTGGTATCCCGGGTTCGAGACATGGAAGTAATGGTATGCGACGTTTTAATACACGTACAAATCAAGTTGAACTGACAAAAATCGGCCTTTCCGCTGTTTGGATGTTCTTTATCTTTGATCAAAAACTTCATTGAGGAAACTTTTGATTTGAAATATATGTAAATTACAATATTTTTGGCCTTGATAAGGTTCTATCTTTAAAATCTGATTTTGTTTATCATTGGTGAATTGATAGCACAAACTGACCTCAATATTTATCCTAACACTGCAAATGTTCATTTGATTGTGAAATTTAATCTTCAAATAAATATTATCTGTGATATTTAGAATGTAAATATTATCCATACACGGTCAATATACAAAACCTGCATGTTTTATTAAATAAAATATTCACAGTTGTTCAGCTTATGAATTTGAATTGAATTTAAAGATATTCAATTTCAAATGACAAGAATCTTTAATCTTATGGCAGACAAATTTCTGAAACACAGAAAGCTTTCAATTCGCCTTTGATTTTTTTTAAATGTGGTATAAAATTTAAAACACGTTATGGAATACCAAATGATTATCAAAAATAGATTTTATAACAAGTGTTTTGATAGTTCTTCTCAAGGGAAGATGAAGTTTTGAAAGAACATGGTTCACGTGAACTGGGTGTCGACTGCTGCTACTCCCAGGCAAACTTCCGAACAGATTATTTTAGTGCCAGGATGAAATTGTCGCACAGTCGTAACTTATTCCGAAAACAAATATTAAAACAAATATTTTATCTTACATGTAGAGATATGCATGTTTACCTTAAGACAGAAAAGAGAACTTAAGTCAAGTTGTATAGATTTATCATAGTGAATAATTGCAGTGTGCACGAAGTTTAGTCTCCGGTTCAAGGGGACAAGATCAATTTGTCTGAAAAACCGACTACAATTTCACAAGTTATTTCGGCGCAAATTGTCCGTTCCTATATATATACCTTATATACACTGGATTGCATGCTACATAAGGAATGTGTTTATCCAATAACATTTATGTCATATAGACAATTAATTAAACTAACAATTTTATATAAATGGAATTTTGATCTACAAACCTGCATCGATAGCTAAATCCTGTAGCACTTTTCCTCATAATGCGTCAAGACCCCGGTATCGGAAGCTTTTGGCCATGTTAAGATGCTTAAGAAGTCACTTGGCCATCTATAGGGGTTTACTTTCATGGAAAACATACGGTAATTATTCCACAGTAATCACTGCTATATAGTGGTGCGATAAAATTACGAATAATAAAATATATGAAAATCTCTATCCGAAAAATAATGAAAACTATGTTTGTAAGTAGGCTTCCATGTTAAACTGAAAATAAAATTTGCGCAAAGAAAACATTTAATCCCCAGTTACATTTCACAAATGATTACATTAGACAAGTATCACATATTACAAAACGAACTAGATATAAACTAATACCACTTTTAAAACATGTGCAGTAAGATATATCCATCTTGTCGAGATTTTTTTTAACTTTTAAAAATCAAAAACTTTTGTTGTAATTTAATCCAAACTGATATACTTTTAAGGTTCTTCCGATATTTTTAATTATAATGCACATTATATAACACTAATTATGACGCTAATTGATTTCACTTTTATATATTTCATATTCGAGGCTAAGCGTACACAAACTAGTCTCACAACAGTCACCTGGTATAGTGATAAACTAGAGTTCATCACCGATTCGAATGTGTGCTCTTTTTACCGTGACTCTCTCATTTGATTGGCCAATGGGAAACAATAGAAAACATGAATAAACAACACACTAGTCTTTTTAAAATACTTTAAATAGGTTTAAATAGTACAAAATTTACAGATTGTTTATGATCTTTTTTTCTATTTTGAGTGTTTAAACAAGGAATATTTGCAATCATTCAAGGTAGAGCAAATTACCAATAAAATGCAGTTCACATCTTCGCTCAAAATCGATTTTTTCAAACGGATGTCAAAATAAATTTAGGATACACCTACTTTCTCTAAATCTAAATTTGCATTTATACTTAAAAGTTTTCAAGGGAAACACCTAAATGCTTACCGAATTTGAAAAGAATAAGGAATATAACTTTTATATATAACTTGTTTTTTCTTACATGTAGTGATAATTTTTTGGTATATTTTTTTAATTTATTTTTAGAAAATATCAACACATTAAATTGGACTTTATTACCGTTTCACCTAGTTATAGACAGTGCATTTATTAAACGACACTGCACCTTTAATCATTTACATAAGTTTGATTCATTTCTTTCACATATCTTTATTACAAAATTTACCAGCATTTAATTCTCTATCATTTTTATCATTTTTTTCTTGATAAAGACACGACAAAAGCAAATGCAAATACGCAGTCGATACTTTTAATATGCCCCACAAAATGATAAATTGAACAATCCAAACTGTGTCTATATTTTGTCTGCATGCAAAGATTTTAATTCAGATTATCAAAACATGTTATAGTAAATCATATTTTCGCATATTGCATCCCATTATATTTAATTTTTCAAATAAATTGACCATGTACATTTAAACTTTATCAGATTTAATATAACCGTTCGAAATATCAATATTAAAATTTATTTTTTATATATAAAATGATCGCAGATAACAAAATATGGAGGTAATATACTTTCGATTTTGCAGATAATCCCTCAAATCTCCTGGGTAATATGTTAAAACCCGAGACCACCCCGAAGGTTGTAATATTTGCTCGCTTTGACACTGTTGCAATTATTTTCCAATTATGTCTGTCAGGTGTGTAAATTTCGATTACCTCCCCTTTCGTGTTTTTTAATAATTATCTTTTGAAATGTTCAAGGATCCGAAGGCAAAGTATAGCATATATTCCACCAAAATGAACAAACTGAAGTCATATTTGATTAGAATTCAAAGGTGCAAAGCACTTTAAACTGTCTTACAACTGACCAAGTTCAACAAAATTTGTATAAGTCGTCAAAAGATTTTGTCAAATTAAAAAGATATGAAAATCAGCGGAAAACTCGTTATTGTATAAAATGATAACCGTTTAAGCGAAGGCTTATGTTGAGGACAAAGGTTTCCCGAGTGTTGAAAGAACTGTGAGAACATATCCAATGATGAAAACGCTAACTAAATAATGACCAGCAAAACACCATAGTAATTTTACATATAGGCAATACAAAACAATCAAATTATGACTGTATATGAAACAATATAAAGTGACTCATTCTCGGATTGAAGGAGTTAAAGTTTAAAGAATTATTTGTCTGGTTGTTCCTCTCTTGCTTTGCTGTTTCTGATTTTCCTTCCATAATATGGCATTCGGCACGCATCTTCATTCTCATGCAATTGTTAGATAGTATTAACTCCAGTAAGACACTCCCTTCCATTAAATTAACTAGTATTTAGTTAACCAGTGTGATATAAAAATATTGTCACCTGACTTCTCCCATTCGATAGTAAAATCAATGCACAAGAGGGGCGACAATACGGCTGTGTGTATAAATAGGCAGCCACGTCTGGTCGGAATTTGTACGCTAAATCCGATAGCTCGTGTAGCCCGGGGAGGATTTAAGCTCTCAACACGTTAAAGAATCATTGCAACAACTCTGTGAGGGCCCGTAGGTGGCCTGTTTCAAGACAAAATATCTGTACCTATCCAACATACATTTTCCACGTAATGAGGTCTAAATTTCCCGTCTTTCGTCCAGGTCGAACCTCTTTTCAAAACCTACCTATTTGATTTATCATGAATTTGTTGGTTGTCCTTATGCATATGACATATTTGCCACTGGACGTTACGATCAATCAACTCACAAAGCTCCGAAATATCTAAGAAAGGTACGTACGACTAACCAAGAAACATATAATATTGTCCAAGGAGCCTTAAAAGGCTCTTGTGATATTTATACATAATTTTGATCTTTGTAACAGTACTGTAAATCTGTTCACAGGGACATACTGTATATTCGCTTACAATTTTAGAATACACGCTAATGATGATTCAGGCCTAAATATTTTAGAACTTGTTTCAATGTACTATTGCATGAGGTTATATATAAAAGATATGTTTAGGAACGGTCGTCATATTGGATGTTCGGCATGGTCAAGGCATGTCATCTATCGAGGCAAATTGCCTGCTGAAATTATTCAAGTATTTCACAATAGAAAGTGTCTATACAATATGTCAAGCTCTGCATTGCCCAGAGTCTTATAAGTAGGAAGTAAATAACAGCAAAATACTCAATGACGAAGTTCTGGATTTGGTACATTCATATGAACATTGACCCTATTGGCTGGATGGGGTTCATTCAATATAATTCAAAAAGATGATGTGATGATCGATTGATCTATATCGACACGTTGCGTTGAATTTTAACGTGCTAGTTCACATGGTTAAAGTCCACAGTCACCCTACCAAAACAAATTATTTTGACTCTGAGCCGACAAATATTTGTTCTTAGTTCCTAAACACCGTGTCCTTGGCAAAGAAGCAGCAAATACCAATTCTTTGCATGGATCAAGCTGGGGATCGAACCCATGACCTCACGCACTTGAGGCGAGCATCGAGTAAGATAATTCAGAAAGAAGACCATCAACGAATAGTGATCCCTAAAGCCCGTTGTGCAGAGATAGGGATAAAATTCATGTTGGTAATGGCAATGATGGTAGAAGTTGTGGTCCGATATAATTTTGTCCTAAATTTGAAAATAAATCGGTTAAAGGGTTTACCAGAACTTTATATATCAAAATTAGGATTTCATATCTTCTCCCTAGGTTTCCCTATTACTTTAGATATATTCGGGTAACTCATAGTTTTTCGTTTTAAAAGCCAATTTTGAAACTGACAATGTCGTTGTAAAATGCGTCCGGGAAGAAAAACAAAATACTGATGTTTAATCTGTATAAAATATCAAGATAGCTTAACGATTGCAATAAAAATCGGGGATTTTTGTTGCATATTTAAAAGTATGAGACAACTGATAAACTAATGTACAGTGTTCAGTCATTAGTCACTAGAAATAGTCAGACATATCTGTCTTTATTTATACATATTCGGTCTTATTATCTTATCAAAATTAGGTGACTCTTCCTTAAGAGGAAGCTAGTTTACACATGCAAATATTTCTACGATAGGTGCAAGGTTGATAATGCTGTTTGTTTATACTGCATAATAAAATTAGAAGTTTTAGGGGAAATTCTCGTCTAAACATACGATAGGTAAAAATGGTAACATATGTAGTCAAAAAATCTTTCTTTAGTTGAAAGCTGAAAATGCATAATCAGACACCCTGATTGATTTCTATCAAATAATTAAGATTGTCTAAGAATATTAATGCAATCCTTGTTACAACCCTGTCCTGTTGGCAATCCAAACGGTCCTATCACCCTCTCAGATATGTGTTATTTAATTTATTATACTGAATGTTCTGTTATTACTGTCTATTAAATTTCAAATTCAAAGTAATAAACTATGTCTTCTTGTACATAACAATCGTCAGTATTTATTAAAGCGCACACTTGAGCAATCGTCTCCGTGAAGGGTAATAGAGTATTTGCCATGGGATAGAGTAAATTGTCTCCCTCGTATTAACCAATCAAAATCTGGCATTTTGACATGAAGTATAATAAAACGTAGTTGTAAGCAACTATAGGTCACCGAACGGCTTTCAACAAGAACACACGCTTTTCAGACCTGGAAACTGTTTTTAAACTGTTTAAGTCATATGATCTTTCAAATTTATCAGACAATCTGAATTTGTTTTATATACCAGTACTTAAATGGCTATAAAACACGTGTATAGACTTTCATTTAAAAAAAAAACTCCTTTTTATCAAAATCTTCAAAAATGCACTGTTATTGAATTATTATCTTCCTGTTCTCTAATTCACCGACACCTTTCCGTATGCAATAACTTCAACCACGACACCGCCTTAGAAATTCGACAATCAGACAGCGCAAGAAATAAGGGAAAACCTTGATGGAAGAAAAAGTAAACAAACGTAGAGGAAGAAATAGCAATAACCGATCCCGAAAGAAAAATAAAGTATACACCGAATCTTTTAACAACAGTTATGACAAAGTTTAATCAACAAACGGGAACGCGTGGAAAATATAAAAAAAAATTCAAACAAATAAACATCGCTCTATCATCTCCACATATTATACACGTGTTCAATGATTCTGTGTTGATTGTCTATCAAGGTCACAATCGGTAATCTTCGACACAAACCCCCGATAGATCATTAGAAGTAAAGGTTTTCGATCAACAATTACCGAGTACATTATTTTTTGTTCCTTATACATTATATATTTCATAAAAAACGTGCACAGAATATTTAGTTTAGTATATATATAAAAATAAGGAGATGAGGTATGATTGCCAATGAGACAAATATTCACCAAAGTTCAGATGAAGTGGATGTAAGCAATTATAGGCAACCATACGGCCTTCAACAATGAGAAAAACCCATACCGTATAGTCGGCTGTAAAAGGCCCCGACATAAAAAAAATTAAACAATTCAATTGAGAAAACTAACGGCTAAATTTATAACAAAACAATTTACGAAAAACAAATATGACCGACATGAACCCACGACAACCACAGAACTACAGGCTCCTGACTTGGGACAGGCACATAAAGAATGTGGCGGGGTTAAACATGTCTGTGAGCGCTCAACCCTCCCCTAACCTGGTA